TTAAATCTAGCCTACCTTTTCTTGAATCTGTCAGATAAAGGAAATGATGTATCCAGAGTACAGATGGAATATAAATTGACAGGAACTTATGAAGCTGGTACTTATTCTGAGAGACATAGGAATCTAAAAACCCAATCATGCCTCATCCTTCGAAAACAGAAGAAGCCAGAAAGGTATTAAGAAAATCAATAAGGTAAAAATGTTCGTCCTACTATTTGGAACAACTCCCACACATAAGAATTAATTAACATAATACTTCTAGAACATTAAAGGAATGTTAAAATGTTATCTCTTTCCATAGAAAACAAAGAGATAAATCCATCTGACTTCTAGAGAGTGATTTGAAGAAACCTGATTGACAGTATTAAAAGCATGTCTGAGAGGCCATGTCTGTCCTGTGTCAGATCATTTAACCCCTTCGGATAAACAGATAGCGGTAGCTTCAGTTCATCAGAATTCCTGAGCTCTGTCATCAATGCTGTGACACATTCTAATTTTCTGATTCATTTGTGATGAAAAAATGCTCCCCTTTTTTTGTTCACAGTGCAAAAGGTAAACCAATGTTTGTGACTAACTCATGATAACTATTTTCTCCAGAATGTTACGCTATTATTATTTTCTCTTAGCAAAGTCTCTTTCCCACTTTAACATCCAGTGTGAATCCCCTGTGCACTTAGATGGCACCCATGCCTAGATTTGAAGCTCATCCAGAGAAATGAGAGACTAACCACCCAGATTCCATTTTTACAGTACCTCACTTGGCAAGTAGCTTAGCTTCCTTACCACATTAAAAAAAATAATAAATAAAAAATCTTCCTGCCATTGTATTGATGCTGATTCATAGTGACCCTATAGGACAGGGTAGAACTGCCCTTGTGGGTTTCTGAAACTATAACTCTTTACAGGAGTAGAAAGCCTTGTCTTTTACCCATGGGGTGACCTTGTGGTTACCAGCCCAATGCATAACCACTATGGCGCCCTGCCTTTCTTTATCATAAAATGAGTATGATAATAGCTTTCCTTTATGACTTTGAAATATTTAAAATGTAAATCAAGCCAAACCTTTTTTCTTATAAAGGAGAAGTTTAAAATAGCCTGTATACTCCCAATTAGCATAAATTTCCGTGGAAAACACATTTTTTGAACCATTAGCAGTATTGCAAATTTAGTAAATGGCTGCCTCTTTCTCCTACAGAATGGCTGGTGGGGTTGAACCACCAACCGTATGGTTTGCAGCTCAACAACTACCTTACAGCACCACCAGGGCATCTCACAGAAATTCCCCAGTGAATAGTAATTATTATTATTCCCAGCTCCTACTCCTCTGCCTCATTGTTGCCAACGCTGTATAGACTTTTAAAAAATGAATTATAACGGGCTCAGAACATAAGAGTTTGGGAAGTTTTAAAGTGTTTGGGGTGTCTCTGCAGGAAGCCTAGTGGCTTAGTGGCTTACTCATTGGGGTGCTAACTGCAAAGTCAGCAGTTCAAAAACACCAGCCACTCTATGTGAGAAAGGTGAGACTTTCTACTGCTGTGAAGACTTACCATCCCCAAAACCCTATATAAGGTTGCTAAGAGCCAGAATTGATTCATGACAGTGGCTTTGCAGAACTTACTGTAAAGAGGTCTGGTGACATAGTGGGTTATGTCCTGGACTCTTTTACTCCATCCTCTGGGGTTGGTATAAGTCAGATTCAACACAATGACAATGAGTTTGGTTTGGTTTGGTATATGTCTTGCCTGCCCCCCGTTCAGGTCCCCCAACACACACACACACACATACACACACACCTAGAACCCTATTGTTTATATATTTTATTTACTCCTGATTTCAGCCTACTTGAACTCAGGAGTGAATAAATGTATCGCCTTGATTAGTAGTAAATAAAGTCTATATTATTTTGTTAGAATCTGCTAGAGTTAATAAGCAGTGGAACTGATAAAGGACTTGCTTCTCTTTCTCCTTTGGTCAAAGGTTACTAACATGGGATTCATGGGTTCTGGGAGTCACTTGAAACATAATGTTTTCTGGCAGGAGTGACTCTCATACAGACTTATATCTCCTCGAGAGGTTCACAATCACTGCCCTAGCATATTTCAAAGATTGAAATTAGAACTGAATCATGTTTAAAGTTGTAATTAATAAATAGTTTTAGTTCCCTGGAGATGGACTCTATGTAATAGTTTCTACTCTGAAATCTTAAAGCTAAGATTAGACTCCCCCACTACAGGTTACCACTCCTTCTCCTCTCTCTACTCTTGTCCCTTTTCCCACGTTAATGCTCTCAATTATTTGTACTTTGCTATTTTATATTCTTTACTAGGTATTTGTACTTTGAACTTAGAAGGCTGATGTAAAAACTTTAATCTTACCTGAAGCTATTAAAGATAATTCTTTTCATTTCAGATTAAAAGAATTTGTAGACATAGAGGGTGAATATCATTTAGACAGGAATGGTACATATCAGTAAAATAACAATTTGAACTGAACAAAAATAAATCTATGTGGATCTAAACATATACTCAAATCACATAACAAACCGTAATTTAATCAAGAAGGAGGGGTCTTTTGACATTTATGAACATTTATGAATTGTATAAAAACCCAAGATTAAATTTTTCGTTTTAGTATTCAATTTTAGTTCAGTGTTATGGTTTTGCATTAATATATAAGGACAACAATTATGGCCAATAAAGTCTTCAATTTCATTTGGCTTTAGTTTGTCTTAAGATTATGACATACATACTGTAATTTTTCACTCTATCTTAGATTCCTGTCATGGCAGTCTGGGCCTCATTTGACATCCAGGAAAGATAGTTTTCATTCCAGACCATGGAAGTGTTAGTCACTCTGGGCACAATTTTGATTTATTAAAATTTATATGCTAATTCCGCCTGGAAAGTTTTAAAAGAAAGTTATTGCTTAGATGTGAGAACATAAGAAATACAAATTATATTTAAAGAAGACCATAACATATTATTGAGAGTTATTTGGCTTCTAATGTACAACAGGAAAAAAATCATAATTGACCATATTCCAGATAAAATCACTACTAATATTCTTCCTTTTATTCCCAAAGGACTGGGAAGGAAATTACGTTCAAAATATGGAAAAATGGTAGAGAAGGGAAATGGAAGGAAGGGAGGGAGCAGAAAGAGAAAGAAGGAGGTGGAAAGAGAGTGAGGGAGAGAATGCACCAGTGCACTACCCTCACATCATACTGGCTTATAAAAGAGAATAGAATATAGGAAAACTTAAGAGCTTTAAAGTCTTTGAAGATTAGTCAGACTCTATTTTTTATTTCAGATTTATATGTACTTCCAATGAATCATATATAATCTAATTATCCTGCTTAAAAATCTCATTAAACTCATCAATTTTTAAAAACAATTTGAAAGCATCGAGACCCCAGCCTTTCTTGTATGCACATGCATTATGACTCAGGCTGAAGGAAGATTTTCATCATAACGCTTCTTGTCCATGTAGGAGAACACCACCCTTTACAATCGTGTGTGATTGGGATGGTTTCGTATTGGTGATAAAAGGAAGACCATGTCTTTGGGGAGTTACTACAATGGTCATTTGTAGAAGGTCATTCATTCGCTTCATTCTGGGAAGTAAAGTCTCTCTAATTGCTATTTCCCTGCTTTTCCCTTATTGGGTGCGGACTATTTTACCAGGCCCTTCTCCACCATGTCCTTTGGCAAACTTTGTTGTACATGTTTCTTGAAGCCTTGTGTGAAGTGGGTAAAATCATGGCATCAGCAAGACAAGGCATTCCTAGATTAAGTCCTCGGGAGGGCTTAATGGGAAGCGTTGCTTTGTTTTCACAGCATCCTTCTTTGGGTTATGAATTTCTTATGAATCTGATAATATTTCCATTTTATCCTTCCATAAGAGAAGCTATTAATACAATGGCAGGTAGACAAGTACTATAATAGCTTACTTGATTTGGGAGTGTAAGATTGCAAAGGAGAATTATTTGATTAAACACAGAATAAGAAACAGTTAAGATCAGTGCCCCCCAAATAACTATTCCTGGCCTGATCCCTGAAATTTCCATCATTAGAAATATTTGTTTTAGGGGTAAATATTTTCCTTGAGAATTATTTATCAGATTATTTCCCACTGTAGTAAAACTGTTCCTAGACTGTTGAAACAGAGTAGTGTGACAAAAGGAAGCCAAAGAACCAAGGCTGACCTCACCAAATTCACAGTAGCAATGAAGGGTAACAGCACATGGTGGTGTTGGGCATGTCTAGACTAAATGTACCCTTAAAATGAGCAGAAGTTTATCGGGGTTTTAATAATCTCTGTTAGGCTACAATGAATCACACACCCCAGAGTACAGTTTTTACCTATTCTAGTCAGTGCTACCCCAGTAGACGTCACTGTAGTGATAGAGCAAGAACATCCTGCTGTGATAGAGATGTTCCATGTCTGATGAGCTAATAATCACTGGTCACCTGTGGCTGTCAAACCCTTGAATTGGGGCTCGTGTGACTTAGGAGCCAAACTTTCATTAATTCTTAGTTAATTCTGACTATTGTGAGTAGACAAATGAGGTGAATGACTGTAGTATTACACACCACAGCTCTAGTTAATACTCTATATGCTGACTCCTTGTGCTGACAAGTACTTCCTCATTGTAGTCCTTCTAAGCCAGCGGTGCTCAACCTGTGGGTCGTGACCCCTTTGGGATTCGAACGACCCTTTCACAGGGTCGCCCAATTCATAACAGTAGCGAAATGACAGTTATGAAGTAGCAACGAAAATAATTTTATGGTTGGGGGGGTCACCACAACATGAGGAACTGCATGAAAGAGTCGTGGCATTAGGAAGGTTGAGAACCACTGTTCTAAGATATAGCTTCCTTTCTTTGGGGTCTACAGGTGGCAAAATTGGGTTCATACTATTTGGTCCATGAGGATCAACCAATTCCATTTATACTTCAGTTTGGTTGCCTTTTAATTCCTTGCTTTTTCTTTGCTTTTCAGTTCCTTGATCATCAATCAGCAGCCTGCCCCTTCTCTTCATGTAAGTAAACCTTTTTCTTGTCCACTTTCATAGAGGTATCAGACATGGGAAGGTTTGGTCTTCAAATTGGCGTGTTTTCTGGCGGACTTCGTTGTGGTTTCCAGCGTGTCTTCAGTATGGTTCCCAGCTTCTTTTGTGTTTGAGGGCGATGTTGTTGGTCGTGGCAGTTGCCATCCGTGAGAGTGACCCAAAAGGCCAGTGGCCCAAGCCACTTTGTACTTCTATAAAGGCTGCCTTTTACCCAGCTGCAGCTGCTGTTTGCAAAAGTTAGTGCTCTGCTAAACTGTGACTGATGTCCTTCAGCCAGAAACCAGCAACAGTTGGGCTTTTTTGCTCACTGTCAATCAATGGGCGATTATTTAGTCTACATTTATACATTCGTTCCTAGGTTCAATCATTTTTAATTTTAGCTTCGAGATCAGAGATTTTATTTATTGACAAAATATCTAATCTCTTTTTACTAAGAAGTATTACACTGAAAAGGAAATGGGCTCAAATCGTGAGCAAAATTATAAGTCTACAGGAAAAATAGAAATCCAGGATTTTCCTGTGTCAGTAGGTTTATGGACCATATGATTTCTTTATGAAAAAGGTGGCAAATCTTTGGGGGGTTGGGGGTTACTTTTTTCAGATGAAACGAGGATATTTATGATTTAAATCTCTAACTTAATTTATAGCGAATGGCTTATGAAATATTATACTTCGAGTTGCTTAAAAGAAGTTCTGTAGCAAAGATCCCAAATATCTGAAGCTGTTGCATGAGACACCCCCCAGGAGATAGTACAGGGAGTGAAACTCACGCAATGCCATAAATAATCACTGGCATCCTTCGCGCCACTTCTCCCTCTGCCCCTTATTCACAACAAGAGAATATCTTACTTCACTTCTCCTCCTCAGTCCAAGTTAGTCCTTCTAAGCCAGCGGTGCTCAACCTGTGGGTCGTGACCCCTTTGGGAGTCGAACGACCCTTTCACAGGGTCGCCCAATTCATAACAGTTATGAAGTAGCAACGAAAATAATTTTATGGTTGGGGGGTGGGTCACCGCAACATGAGGAACTGTATTAAAGAGTCGTGGCATTAGGAAGGTTGTTCTAAGCTATAGTCAGAAGGAGGGCTCCCAAGGCTTTATTTGGTGTGTGTGCTGGAGTATGATTTCTATTAACATTCCTCAAAGCTACTGGTAAATATGTGTAGGGGAGCAGAATCCTCCAAAGGATGCTAAGGCTGACGTCTAACGTGACATTTATTCGATGACAAAAGGAAATTGATTAAAGTCCCCAAAGATGAGTGCTGCGTATAATTCATTATACAACAGGGATGGGTCCTAGCAGCCCGTGACAAGTCTGGTTATTCTGGGTGTTGATGGGCTGGGTCTATCAGTGCCAGCTTAGCGGAGATCAGTGTGCCCGCTTTTGGTTGCCACTTCATTTCTCCACCTCCTTCCTCTCAGTTACCTAGCACTGCATATTTCTAGCCCTCTGACTGGCAAATCATTTCTGTTTCACTTCTTTTGTGTAAAAACAGTTCACATAATAGCTCTGTGTTAGACAAGGCATTAATCCTCACATCACCGGGGATGAGTCAGCACAGTGCACTTCCTGCCCGCACACTCAGCTATTATGACGTCAGCACTATGGGCGAGCCTCAGACACAAGCTGTACAGGGGACTGGAGACCTGTGTCACAGATTAGAAATCAAGGGAGAGACCTTTGAGAGAGGGGGGGAAAATGTAATTGAAAAGCTGTCTCTGGCTCATAGGAAAATGTGAAACCAATTCAATGCTACATCATCTATCAGTCCAGCAGCTTCTAGAGAGATTGTATATTTCTAACCAGAGATAAGGGTAACATGTAATGCGTTCATAGCCTGTTCCTGTACCCATCCATGGGCCAGGGTTCATGCTTGCTTGGACTGTTCCAAACCCTGAGGCTGCCTTATGTCATCAGGATGACAGGGCCTTTGGCAGCCGTGGTGTCCTCAAATGCCCCAGAACACAGCCGATGACTCCAGGGATGGTGTCCCAGGGGCCCAGCAAAAGGAAAGTTCCTTTGGCACAGATCAGCGCATTTGCCCCAGTCCTTCTGGCTCCAATCTCCTCTACCCCTCTGCCTTGCCTCCCCAGATACGTGCAGACTTCTGCCTGCCTTCGTTCCTTGGCACTGCGTCTCATCCAACAGCTCTCGCTTTGTCTTACCCAGACTTCTGGAGGGCCAATCTTTCCCAGTACACTGGCACACAATGTAAGGGGAGCCCTCCGCAACCTGCCATGCTGCCTTGAAGCAGTTAGTACAGAATTGCCCTATTTAGGAGTCTCTGTGCCTATAATGTAGGCCTCTTTTCAGTTCAGGCTGAGAGTTGCGTTCAGGACAGGACCTTTCAGTATTTAAAACTAAGTGTCGAAATACCTCAGTGGCATTTTTTGTTCAAAAAGACATTCTTCAATCACACCGTTTAGCTTTCATTTTTACTTTCACCCCAGGCCATCCCAAGCTGCAGTGAGAGCCATCAAAAAGTGCTTTCTCGTTGGCACTTCCTGCCTTCCTTCACTTGCTAATAGACTCCCACCATACATATGCTTAAACCCACAGAAGCGCATACTATACCGTGCCTTCATTTTAAGCAATCATCACTTCTAGATCTTTATTCAGTCAGTATACATTTATGGCCTGCAAGTCACTGTGCTTGGTACTAAGGAAACAAAGATAAGTAAAAATTGTTGCCTGCTGTTAAGGTGCTCAGTGTCCAGTTCAGGAGATAAATAAGTAAATAGAGACCATACCGTGTAGATAAGGTCTGGAGTGGAAACATGCATAAGATGCTGTAAGGGGTGCCAGAAGGGAGTGCCCATTTGCTTGGTGTGGTGATTCCCAAGCTGAGTCTTCAAACCGAAAGGAGTGAATTGCGGTTTACTGGATGAATGAGGGAGAAGGGAAGGAAAAGGTGATCAGAATTAACGGAAACAGCAAGAATATTTTCAAAGGTCCGTGGCCTCAGATACAGAGGAGAGTAGTTCAGTATGGCTGGATCCCAGGCCTTGGGAGGGGAGCACAAAGAGATGAGCCTGGGCAGTAGGCAGGAGTCCAATCATGGAAGGCTGCATGTGCCACACAAAGGAATTTGTACTTGGTTCTGAAGGCTTGAGGGGGCTTTGAAGAACTTTAAACAAACTTGTATTTTGAAGAGAACTCTCTGGTGGCAGCATGCAAATAGGGAGACCAGGTGAAAAGTGAACAGTGAGGATGGGAATGGGTGGAGAGAGGATCTGGCAGTATTGAACTAGACACTGGCATTTGCGTAGGTCCAGCATATCTTGGCCCCGGTGCACAATCCTTGCCTTCTAGGAGAAAGGCTAATGTGTTGTGTGGGGCCACATTTTAGACTAAAATATTTCTTTATGAGAGCTTAACCACAGACCTCAGTCTGAATATGACCTCACTCAGCTCCCAAAATCACAGTTCTGCTGAAGATTCTAGGGGTCTCTACAGGTCTCTAATGGGTGTGTCCTGCCTACTAACCAGTGGGCAGGGGAATAAGGAGAAGCTATTCCCAAGGTCCTGTTTACCTCTTCTTTCACTTGAAGTGAAATGATTTCTTAATAATGCCCTCCTCCCCCGCTAAAGTCAATCAGTGCCCCAATTTCCTATCACATTCCCATCGCTGCCTTTTTCTGGGCAGAAGTTCCATGTCATTGAACTGAATTGCAACTTATGCACAGCCGGGTGTTGAAACGACTCAGTGTATTCATTCCTTTTCACTGAATTAGAGTTCACCATAAATGTGCTTTTCTTGTTCACTTTGGGCTTCCAGGCCAATTTAAAGGAAATTCTCAACAGCTTATGTCTTGTGTAGTGTGCTCGCTTTTGCAAATGGGAGGCTGTGCGGGAGTGTTTTTTCAATCTTCTCTATCTTGCTTTCTGGAGTAAGATTTGAGAAGATGAGCAAGGTGAGGAGCAGGGACCTATTGAATGCCTGGGACCCTCCAGTGACCTGAGAGCAGAGTGTAGGCTGGTGATCAGATGGTCAATTATGTGTTTGTCAAAACACAGTGGGCTGCATTCCAGACTGCCAGCTTTGGAGGCCCAGCTTCTGCCAACCAAATGTCATCCGGGAACATGCAACACTGGGCACTGTGAAGGAGTTTGAAATAGACCATGGCACGGCCAGCCTACTGCCAGTCTTATAACACCAATATGGCATGCACAGCCGGGCCCCATGTTTCTGAGCTCTGGAATTCACTGGACTACATTCAAGAGGTCACATGGGTTCATGTTTTCAAAGCCTGTGTTCTCTGCTTTGAACATTGTGACTTGCTTCTCAGCAATTTCCAGGGGATTTTTCCAGTCCCACCTCTGTGGGAACCACTCTTTTATGATGGTTATGAGCATCTTATACATATCCCAGAGGAGAGGAAAAAATCAACTTGCTTTGACAATGACAGTGAATCCAACTGAGAGATTCCGACTCTTAGGAAAGTACCGTAAAGGTGCATAGCTTTTAAAATATCAGGAACCACCTTGGCAACTTATAAAAAGCAGAAGGGCTTTGCCTATTTTATAAAGTGATTTGCATATACCTGCATAAATAATGTCCCCACCTGTACTTTTATGCATTTAGGTTGAATAAATTAAATTCCATGATCTTTAAAATATTCACTTTCTTATATTTCTCAGATACCATCTTCAGGACCCTTCCACCTCAATATCCTCCTCCCCCCCCCTCCCCCGCCCACCCCATGGTAGTTGTCCCTATGATTTTTTAAAAACTTTTGACTAATTCAAGAATCATTACCACAGCCGGGAACATTACCTAACATACCCTAAACATCCCTCTGCTTGATTTTCTGTTAGTCTTTCTGCATAGCAGACCAAGAGCAGCATATACTTTAGGTAAGGGAACATGGCAGAGTACATTAACTAAAATAAAATCACTACCCAAGTGAGTTCAAGTTCCACTACATCTGTGTGTGTGTGTGTGTGTGTGTGTGTGTGTGTGTGTGTGT